ATTTATAATTAGGTTAATAATTTTACAATGTTCATAGAATATGCAATCTTCTTGTATTCATCGCATCTTTTTTTTCGCGAAGAAAATTGTAGTACTAGTTTGATAAACCGTTTAATTGTCTGTGAGTATCGGTTTACCTTGGAAAGTTAAATTAGAATATCTAAATATATATTTAATACATATGCATTAACGATACCATAATTTGAAAATTATTATAATTTTTAATTTTTGCCATTACGTGCTGTATTCACAATATAAGATCTAAATTAATTTCTCCCAAGAGCATTTGGATGTAAGAAATTTTTTTGAAAAAACTTTGTTGAATTATTATTTATTAATAGATACATCTATATGACAATGTTGTTGATTTTATTTTTAACTTTTAACTTCGCCATTCTGAAATAGACGAAAGAATACGAATTGTTGGAACAATTAAACGAACAGCATGAATACCGTTTACGGAATAAAAATAAAGATCCGCCCGATTGATCGTACATTTAATGAATGTACAAAATTAGATTAATGAAGCAGATTGCCGATTTTTTTACATCTATATATATATATATATATATATATATATATATATATATATATTGTTGGCGTAACAAGTATGTTCCACCTTATTAAAAGACGTAAAGATCGTTATATTATGCATTATAGTATTGGAATATTTTATGATCTGTGCCAATTAATATAAGAAACTTGATAATTGCAAAATAAAATGATGAAGGATAAATTGAATAGCAATGACTATAATATATTTCATTAATCGGTTTAAGAAACTATCTGGAATATAAAGACAATGGGATATTTCATTACCATTATTCTCAACATTTATTAATGGAATAAAAATTTACGCGCCGTAAATTTTAGAAATGATGTCGGTAAGTTTTGTCGTATAGATAATAGATTTTAACAACGTTACGTTTGAAATTTATAATTCTGTAAATCTTTATTTAAAATGAAAATTAAAAAAAGGTTATTTTATTTGTCATAATAAATGCACGGGTATGCAGGCAAACGTATATTACCGATAACACACGCGTGCAAACATGCATAAAAAAAAAAGAGAGAGAGAGAGAGAGATACGATTCCCTCTTGAGTAATAATACTAGTAATATTAATAACAGCAAGAGCAACGACAACAACAATAATAACAATAACAATAATAAGTGGCAGAATAATAAATAATTAATAATTAATAGTGAATCAAGATCCAAAAGAATACGATAATGTTACGTTATGTAAAATTTTAATGTCCTGTATTAAGAAACAAATGAAGATTGTATATATGTAAAAATATACGAGATTTTATAATAATACATCTGTTTCGAGGTTAACTTTACAAGTTAATTTTCAAATACGGGAATACGCCATTAGGAGGAAGAAAAATTATAATACTAACCAAAGTTTCTTCGGAATAGCAAATAACATTTCAAGAATAAATATGGTGAATTTTTTATGAATATTATGCTAGTGACGTTAGAATTACTTTCCTGCATATTTTACCAATTAATTTAATGCGTTATGCTTCCTCCACCTTAATTAAAATATTAAAAATTCAAAGTCTCGGCATATATTGGTCATAAATATTGAAAAAATTGAATTATCAAGGTAAGATGCGTTTATTATTTTAATAGACGGCCCACTTTTATTTTGCCGACAATGTGCTGAAAGTACTCTAGAATAATAACGTTATTAAATAATTCATGTGTTTGCTCGAGTCGTAATGGAGCCTGAAACAATTGAAGCTTGCCATCTGTCGATGGGCCGACAAACTAATAATGAATCGTCGGCAACGCGGACTCGAACTGCCTCTTCGATGGTAAAAGCCCCCGTCGCGGCTTTTGAGGTTTAATATTAGCAATAAATATCATAGAACAGATCTGCAGGGCGAAAATATAAGAATAAAATATAAACTCACCTAGAGATGAAAACAAAAAGGGAGGTTATAAATGTGAAACACAGGCATCTGAAAAGAAAAAATAATAAATAAAAAAAAAAAAAAAAAAAAAAAAAAAAAAATAAAGAACGGGGGACGTGAGTAAGCAAAAGATTAGATTCGTAGAACGATTCGAAGAAGGTGATTTTGTAGGGGTAAAGCGGGTTCGTAAAGCGCGAATCGGTACCCCGCAGCCTCATTCTCATCTGGCATCTTCTAGTCGCAATTTTCTCAAAGGACAATGTGCGTGGGCTGGAGTAGCAACGAGCAATGAGTTAGATAAATGTCGAGGCAGCCCAAGCGATTATTTGGGCCAGTCTATGTAACAGCCACGCGAACGGACGAAGCCTCGGAAATGCTTGAGCGTCATGCAAAAAAATATTTGTCCGTAAAAGCATTGGCGTTCGGTTTTTGGAGAGCATGATATGGTAAAAGAGTAGCGACGAGTACGTTGAGCGTTGGGTGCCGAAGTAACGAGAGTAACGAGAATAACGAGTGACCGAGTGTCGCCATCGGGATGACAATAACCGTTTCTCGATCTACGCAGGACAACAACATCACTTTCAACTTCCACCGCAACAAGACATAAAATAAGGTCGCGTGTCCGCTTGGATTTTTTAACCGCTGCTACTGCTCCTCTTGCTGCTGAATATGATGATGCTGTTGCTGCTGTTGCTGCTTCTGCTACTGAATATGATGATGATGATGATAATGATGATGATGATGCTGCTACTGCAGTTACTGTTGCAGTTGCTGCTGTTATTTGTACTGCTTCTGTTATTGCTACCAATACCGCAACCTATGCCGCTACCAACGTCGATACCAACGTCGCTACCAAAGTTGCTACCAATACCGCTACCAATGCTGCTACCGATACCGCAGCCGATGACCCTGACAGCCTTATGAATGGAAGTGACAATGATAATACAAGACAAAATCCCGCACGCACGTCTGGGTCAGTATCGCGGTCCCCGTGCGCATGCCACTCTGTTATTCGCTAAAAGGACAAAAAGTACGGGAGGCCGGGCGCGGCGACGCCGACGCATCTTTCCCAAAGAAGGCAGCGGGGAAAAAGTCGTGATTCCAGCGGCCAGTGGCTGTACATTATCACGCCGCCGTTACCGTTGCTGTCGCCGTCATCGTAGCCGTCGTCGTCGCCGTCGTCGTCGCTGTCGCGCCGTGTCGTGCCGTACCGCGCCGAAAGAGAAAGCGCGAGAGAGAGAGAGAGAGAGAGAGAGAGAGAGAACGAGAGAGAGAAATGAGAGAATTGAGAGAAATGAGAGAGATGAGTGAGATGAGTGAGATGAGTGAGATGAGTGAGATGAAGAGATATTAGAGAAAGAGAGAGATATTAGAGAGAGATAAGATAGAGATAAGAGTGAGATGATGAGATGAGTGAGATGAGTGAGATGAGTGAGATGAGTGAGATGAGTGAGATGAGAGACACGAGAGAAAGAGAGAGATATTAGAGAAAGAGAGAGATATTAGAGAGAGATAAGATAGAGATAAGAGAGAGTGAGAAAGTGAGACGAGACGAGAGCGAGCGAGTTACTGGCGTTGCGCCGAGGTAACGAGGGGGAGGGCTGGAGGAGAGGGCGGCGGTGGAGGTGATCGAAAAAGTGAGGAGAAAATCGGCCGCTTACCGAGCGCGAAGAGCAACTTGTGGGGAAAAAAGTCCTTCCGTGGAAGCCCGTGAAAGCCAGCGGGGATATGCTCGGGGCCGTAAGGGAGGAGATGGTGCGTGCGTCCACAACCTCGTGCCTTATTTGTTTTTCACTGGATGCTCGACGCCGTGCCACTTTTTCTCTCCAGGGAACTTTCGGCAGGCCCGAGACGATGTTATGGCTGCTTCTTTGACTCCTTCTCGCTTTATTGCTGCAGACAACTGCATGTACACATTGGCGTAGCTGGCGCCATCTTCATCGCCGCGGCCCAACTCTCGTGGGCCGCTCGATTGGCAGTCGGACAGCGCGCGCGGGAAAATTTGTTTCAAAAGAAACCGAACGTCCACCAGTCCCGGCCACCCCCTCCCGCTTCGCGCTATCCCAGCATCACGCATGCCTTGGCTTATTATATTTCGCCAGCTCTCGTTTATTTGAAACTCGACCAGCGGCGGGCGACTTTCGGCCACCTAACCGCGTGTGTGCAGCGAAAGCAGCAGCTGCCGCGCAACTCCGACGTCGACGAGCGCACTCGTTCGTCGCTTCGCCCGTCCTTGCCTCTCGGTTCGCCAGACCCGCTCCCGAGAGCACGCGAGAGAGAAACGCGCCCGGTAATTATCGCGCGTGAAGCCGCGTCGTCGGCGGGGCGATCCAACTCCATGCGCGCACCCACGGGAGCTCGGCTAATTCGGGTAGCATCCCCTGCAGCTCGTCGTCGACGTTCTTTGTGGCCGAGTTAGCGGCGAGGTTGAAATTCGTAAGAGTCAGCGGAGTACTCGAGCGGCTTAAAGGGGGGTCAATTAAAGTTGAACGAGGAGAGGAGCGCAGCCTGGTCGACCGTCCGCGCCTTGTCAAGGCTGCCGGTGTCAGCCAGGTGAACCATCCCCCGGAGTGTCGCTCGGCGCCTCAAGGTCGCGGTCACTTCGAGTCGCTCGAGCTCTCGGCGGGTGGCGGGCAGCTGGCGGTAGGCGCTGAATTTACGGGAAGGTGCAACGAGTGCCGGGAGTGCGCATGCTCGGGGTAGTGAAGATGGCGTCAATGGCGTTGAGTCGCGGAGGTTCGTCCTCGTGCCCGGATGGGTGAGACTGATGGTAGGATGTTGCGATGAGGGTCGTCGAGTCGAGCGAAGGCTGAAGTCGAAGTTTTCGCGAAGGCTTGGCGCGGCCCTCTCCTTGATTGCCGCCCGCTGGCCTAACAAGGCTGGCTAAAAGGAGGAGGAGGAGGAGGAGGTGGTGGTTGCGGTTGCGGCGGCGGCGGTGGCGGCTCGGGTGATAAGGGGGTCCGCGAGTCGAGCTGCGGAGCGGTGCGAAGCGTCTGCTCGCGTGCGATTGATTTCGGCTGGTGTGTGTGTTTGTGTGCGCGCGCGCGCGCGCGTGTGCACGGGCCGGCGGGGCGGTAGGGAGCGGAGGGAGCTGCGGACTCGTCGAGGCTGCTGCTATTGAAGCGCGCGGTAGGGGCAGCGGAGTGTCAAGTGACATTTGCTTACGTAATGAAATATTTTCGCGAGCCAAAGTAGTAGCGCCGCGCTCCCGGTGGCTATCGGGAGCCGTTTATTTAACTCGGGCCGGCCGGTTGGTCGGAATACAGAAATACCCACCGACGGCGACGAGGGCTTTCTTCGATCGTCCAGTGACCCGATTTGAACGCTCGTCCGCTGCTTGGCCGTTCACTGGCTCGCGTCAACGTCACGCCGTCCCGACCCCTCGTCGCCCCCTTAATCATCACGAGCCGAGCTGTCAATTGCCGGAGGCTGTTGTTTTCGTTTGTTGGGATCGTAGACCTGGTGCGAGCGAGTAGTCGAGATTTATTGGCGCCGGGCGCGCAAATTATGACAAGAGGCAGCAGTCATGGAAAGCTACAATTGGGATCCTGGTAATGATTATTTTTGGCTTGTGTTTTTGTGGCGAGCGCGTTTCTCGTGCGTGCGTGCCAGACACCTGACTGGCCATTTGTTAATTGTTAAAGGTTACGGCGGCGTCGGAAGGGGCAGGGAGGGGGGCCGACAGGGCAGGAAGGAAGGAAGGGGGGGGGCGCGTTTCTCGTGCGTGCGTGCCAGACACCTGACTGGCCATTTGTTAATTGTTAAAGGTTACGGCGGCGTCGGAAGGGGCAGGGAGGGGGGCCGACAGGGCAGGAAGGAAGGGGTGGGTGGGTGGGAGAAGTACGCGTGACGCGCTCAGTTGTGGAGTTGGGGCGCATTGGAGTGCGGGCACGGGCATGTATAAGATGGATATGTTTGTATTTTTCAGCTCTGTCAAAGTTACTAAGTGCCTTGGAAGCGAACAGAGCTTCGATACCAAGTTGTTCGGACGAGGAGTTCAATTTTCTGAGCGAACTGCTACAGTCCAAGGAATTGAACGCATTGGTTCAGGTGTACAACAAGATTTTGAAAAATCTGAAAGATGACAAATTTTTCCCCATCCTGTCGAACGCTATGGAGATCAATGTGGAGGTTCTTGGGCTGTTGGCGTCAAAAACTCATGCCTCCGATGAATTTAAGGAACTCTTTCAGTTACTTCAGAAGCCTCACGTGCAAGTATGGATAATAACATATCCCTTAGTCGCCTACTGCTAATGCCAGCTATAGTTCCTCTCACTTAAGCGGCGTTGTTTCAGGCCCTCCTTATAGCGCACGACACGGTCGCCCAAAAGGACTACTATCCTAGACTACCGGACATTCCGGTGGAAGTGGACGAGGACGAAGAAACTGTAAAAATTGTGCAATTGGTCAAATCTGACGAGCCATTGGTATGTCCTTTGATACGTGTGCTTTGTGTTTATCTTTTGTAAAAACTTATTTATTGGACTAAAAAATTTGACATTTAATTTAGGAAGTGTGGTGCTATATTATAAGAGATAGCAAATTTCATTATAAATTATGTATTATTACCTCGATCGATGAATTATGCATGCATCTTGGTTTTGTGTCAATTTTAATTTTTATCATAAACGTGATATGATATATAACATAATTTTGTTGCATTTAAAAAGAAAAAGAAAAAAATAAAATAAAATAAATGCCTTTTACCAAGAAGTCCTACTGCTTCAAAGACAAAAGAAAGACAAAATTCTTTAATGGTAGATAGATTATCTCTAATTAATTTGCAAGTAATCACATTTTTTTTCCATTGTCAAACTTGATCCGAAGTCTGGTACTGGCATTGAACCAATCATGGTAAGTGTTATCAGAGCTCCAGACTAAAGCAAATCACGGTTTTATTTTGTTTGTCAATTATTGTAATACTTTATTTTTATCGCTAAAATTAAATTTGCTATCAATAAATAAGTGTAATTTATTTATTAATTTATTTATTTATGTACTCATATATTTATTATTTGTATTTACCTACTTACTTACTTACTTACTTATTTATTTATTTATTTATTTATTTACTTATAAATATAAGCTAATGGTTATTTAATTTTGTGTTATTGTATTTTCTAAGTAATATATTTCCAACATTTTTTTTGTTATTAGTGACTTTTTATTATCTAAACTGGCTGTGCATTTTGTGTTCAAAAACATGATTCAATGTGAGTTTTTTATGTTTTATATGTGATTTTATCAAGTATTATTAATAATGTACATAGTATTTTATATTTTATGTATTGTATTTGTACTAAAGATTGTATTATATTTTTGCATGTTTTCTCTATTGTTTAAAATAATTTTTTGTAAATAAATGATTTTCAAAGATAATAATGTTATTTTTCAGCATGCCTATTTATAACACATTATTTAGCTTAAGCCAAAAACCACAAAAACCACGTTTGTCGTTTTCACAATGATAATTGACTTTGTTATAACGTCCTTTCTCTCTTTAATTAAAATGTAAATTATCAAAATTGTATTAATATAAGAATTTTCAAATTAAATTCTCTCATTTACAATGGAGGCCCACCCTCGCACGCACGCACCCACGCACCCACGCACCCACCCACGCACGCACGCACGCACGCACGCACGCACTTACGCACAAACACACAAGCACATTATATTTTTTGTCAATATTTTTATGCCTCGCATAATTAATGGACGTATGACCTTCAATATACATTTTGTCAAATACTTGTCGATAAACAATAGGGAGCAACTATTAAGACTGACGAGCAAACTGGTAAAATTGTGATCGCCCGAGTAATGCATGGCGGCGCAGCAGACAGATCTGGTCTTATTCACGTCGGAGATGAAATTCACGAAGTAAATGGCATCAGTGTCGAAGGAAAAACCCCAAACGATGTTCTAAAAATCTTGGTAATTCAAGCTTAACATTTTAACCCATTTGCTATATAATAATTTATGAATTATTACGAGTATCGTTGTCCAATATTTGCTTATGTAATTTATCAGCAAAATTCGGAGGGAACGATTACCTTTAAAATTGTACCGGCAGATAGAAAAGGCGTCTTTAGGGAGAGTAAGGTAACATCACAAACCCTTATGCCGATATATTACGAGAATATTTCATCGACGTTCACAAAAGTCTTATTAATGTGTTGGTTCGCAACAACAGATTAGGGTACGTGCACATTTCTCTTATAAAGCATCGGAAGATCCGGAAACACCTTGCACAGAAGCTGGCCTAGATTTTGATAAAGGAGACGTACTTCATATTGTGTGTCAAGATGACGCACATTGGTAAGAATAAAATAGAATCTCGGTGTTTAATAATACAAGCCTAGTAAAAACGAACGTTTTTTTTGTTTTTTGTTTTTTTTTTTTTATTTTTTTTTTTTTTTTTTTTGAAGATTTTATGTTCAGCATGATTACAATTTTTATCGTACGACATAATGTATACAAGTTTTTAACTATTGGAAATTTCTTATGTTATTAGAGCGAGAAAAGAAGGTGACCGAAATATGAGAGCTGGTTTAATTCCTAGTAGAGCATTGCAGGAGCATCGGATTATCATGCAAAGGCAGCAGCATGAAAAATTAGAAGATGATAGTATAAGTAAGAGATTCTCAGTAATACCATTAAAATTTAGAATACTTATTATAAATGTTAATGTAAAGTTATTGAAATGTGCCTCGCTTAAGCGACTGGACGAAATGAAAAATTCATTCGTTTAAATTAATGCTTTTGTGACTAACGAAGCTGACATTTGATGCTACACATCCACCTTGCGTGAGAACGATAGTTACGCAATTAATTATTAACGCATATATACATACCTCTAAAAAATCTTTAACAAATTTGCAAAATAATAAAACTGAGCGATCGAGTCCAACTAAGTGGCACGGGAAATTAACAGGAAAATCTCACCTAACCATCGGTTAGGCTTGTGTTCTGTTCCAGTGCCTTTGCCCACGTTGTGCCCCCGTCCCCGTACCTCTTCATTACACGATTCACCTACCAAATGCAGCTTGCATGGAACAAAAACTAAAAAAATCATATATGACGCTACAGAGAACGACGACTTTGATCGAGAAGAGATAGCGACGTACGAAGAAGTCGCAAAGCTCTATCCAAGACCAGGACTTTATCGGCCCGTTGTTCTAATTGGACCTCCAGGAGTCGGCAGGAACGAGCTCAAAAGACGACTAATGGCAATTGATCCGGAAAAATATCGAACACCCGTACCCTGTAAGTTTCCATTATCTAATCTAATTTTTCAATGATTTATTTTTATTTTGTATATAGTTTTGCTTTCTCGGCTTTAGCAATATAATTCGTAAATAATGAAAAAAAGAAGCTACGAGGCCAAATTTTCGTTCAATTAAAATGTGTATGTAAATGTTTTTGCTAAGATTATTTTAAACTCTTATTAATTATAAATTAAAATAGTATCTGATGGGAATAGTTTCGTTGGACATTGAGTATTAAATTCGCTAATAATCATTGAATTTATTTGCTTATTTCAATACGAGTGAAGCGATTGCAATTTTAGCAAACTATCGATCGGTAAGTCGTGTTCCGTGATTTACAAAAATGTATTACACAGTAATGTATCCAAATTATGATTGACAACGAAATCACGTGAGCATAAATTATCAACGCTAAGCTCTTTAATTCATTTAAATTCGCAATTTCACAATATTTAATGAATATTAAGAAAACAATGAATTTTTTATATAATCTCAATGATTAAGTGAGCTTTACGAGCTTGAATATTGATAATCGTGTAGATTATTGCGACAGATAAGATTTAAAATTTATTCCTTTCCTTTTTCAAAGATACCTCGAGATCGCCAAGGCCAGGTGAAGTAGATGGCAAAGAATACTTTTTCGTCTCCCGTGCGCAAATGGAAGAAGACATTAGCAATGGCAAATTTATCGAATACGGAGAATATAAAGGCAATTTATATGGAACCAGTGCTGAAAGTGTTACTTCTTTAGTAAACGCCAGCTACGTATGCATCTTGAGTCCACATTATCAAGCACTGAAAATGATTCGCACTTCAAAATTAAAGCCTTACGTCATATACATAAAGCCACCAAGATTTGAAATTTTTAAAGATACGAGAAACGAGTCGAGAGCGAGATCAACTTTTGATGAAACTAATTCCCGAGGTTTCACCGTAAGTTAAGGCGAAAATGTAACATTAATTCGAACAACGGCTCAAGCTTATTAAAATTATTAATTACTCATTAAAATGCATGATGATTAATAGGATGAAGAGTTCGATGAGATTCTTCATAGCGCAGCAAGAATAGAGTTTCTCTATTCCCACATGTTTGATGAAACAATTATCAATGCTGATTTATCAATGGCTTTTGAGCAACTGTTACTTTCAATACACAAACTTGAATCTGAGCCCCTTTGGGTTCCAGCATCATGGGTTTAAATAAAAAGCCTCTCTCACTTGTCAAATGCAACACAATACCCCGTGGAAAAAATATCGTTATAACAACAACAACAAAAACAACAACAACAACAACAACAACAATAATAATAATAGTAATAATAATAGTAATAATAGTAATAGTAATAATAGTAATAGTAATAATAGTAATAGTAATAATAATAATTCAATTATTATCGAAGATTTAAACGAAGCGATTTACATTTCACGCAAAGATTTAGGATATATGATGTCTTTGCTATTAAAAAAAAAAAAATAATAAAAACAAAAAAAAAAATAAAAAAAAACCTATGGGAAAAGTACTATTGGTAATGATTAGAAAGGCTTATATTTATAACTATTAATTACAAGAGTATATAGTATATTAGTAATTACAATGAAATAAAACAATAATTACATAAAAGTATTTAAAAGCTTATAAAGTAGGGTATTGGCGTAATCACTAATGACTAATAAATTTACACGCAGACAATATTTCAATTTGAATAATCTTAATCAACTTCTTATATAATATCACTAAAATATTTTTAATATAGTAGGCGCGAACTATATTTAATATTACAACAATTAAAGCATTCTTTATTATAAACTATATAAAATCGTTGTTCATTATTAATTCTTACTTTTCCATTAAATAATAACTATCCATCAACATATTAGTTCTTAAATGTGTTCAATATGGTTAAAACAACATATCTCTATTATAAAATCAACGTCAGTATTTACAATAGTTTTATCGAAGAAATGTAATAGCTCTATAGATTTAAAAATACTATTTTTAATGTGACCGTCAAAACTCGAAATATGTACTTCCGCTTTATATTTAACTAACTACATATGAGATAATACTATGTTCAAATATATAAATAAAATAAATTATACTTTCATAAAATACAAGATATATATATATATATATATATATATATTAAAATGATGTATACATTTGTAACGTGTAAAATCTTCAAATGTCGCTCGTCTTCGCTCAATTTATTTACTAACATCGCATCATTTTGAAATTGAACTCTATAAGACACGACGTTTATGTTATCGCTGATCATCCGTAATATTATATTCATCTAATATTTCGAATAATTGTTACGACTAAGATAGTTATGTAAGTGTCTCTGCGTCTTTTCCTCGGAAGTCTCGAACGTCTACTTATCTTGAAACGTCTTTAGCTTGTGACTCCAATTTTTAGAGGAGTTATCGACGAGATCAACCAACCAATTATTAACTACGACTACTTATTCGTACTATTATTCTGAGAAATATGCTTTGAAATAAATATTAATTACTTGTTAGTGTTAAAGAGCATTATATACATACAAGTATTCGTTACTGTTTTGTAACAATTACTTAAGAAATAATTACGGAAGATAAATGAATTGTAACTATTTGCCTCTGTAAACTACGCAAACAAGACTTTTAATGAATTAGATATAATTACTAATGAGTATTTATTACTCATTAATATTAAATACCTTTGGGGGGGGGGGGAATTACAATAAATAAGTATTGTAACAACTAGATTACCAATAGTGCTTTTCAACAACAGATAGTGTAATAAAAAATAAAAAAAAGAATTAAAATGTATTTTCCACATGTATAATTTCTATCGACTCGTCGTTGTTATAACTACAGATATCTTGAAACGTCATTAGACCCAAAATGACAATTTTTAATTAGGCGTGAAAGAGACCATAACTTTTTTTCTTGACAATTCAGGTATATGCGTTTAGAATAGTCTGTAACCGATGCATCCACTTGCGCAAGATTTGCCTTTCTCATGTTTAAAAAGTCGAGTTTTTCTAGTATAAGTAGAATATCGGATGAGTTCACGGGCGATTAGAGTCGTTTTGAAAATTTGTCATTAAAGGCAGAGTACAATGAATGCAATCTTTCATCTCGAAAACACGTTATACGATTTTATGTACAATTAATCACTTTACATGACTTTAATATTTTATCGAGCATTCATAAGAGTGCAAAGTTCACCGCTGTTTTTAATGTAAAACAATTTTTTATCCTACGCAAATATCAGTATACTATATAGCGTTCAAAACTATTCGAATAAAGCGTACTTTAAAGGCTTGGATGGTGTAAAGTATTAAAGTATTAACAAACAAAAGGTAAAAAATACAAGCGACTCAACGCCGAAAATTGTCAACACTATTGAGAATAGTGATAAAGTTTCAATTGTTGTTAATTGTTGCCAAATACATACATTAGTGACTTACTAAGTATATATTAATAAAAATATACGTTGTACATGAATTATTATAAAAGAAAATGTTATATTGCAAACAAAAATATTTTCCATGCAGCACAACTGACGTTGAGGTGCGCGTAGCTTAATCCCTTCAGGCGTGCTTGAAGCAGTGCGGCGTACTTTACCTGGGCCCACGAGTCGCCCGTCATTCGTCATATATCCATGACCGATGGTTACCCAGCTCCTCCCCTCACACACTACTTCGCCAAACCCATGAATGGGATGAGCGATGCCAAGCTTGCCGAGCAAGCACGTGTGTTGCGAAGCGGTTTCGACGAGCTTGGCATGTTGGTGCGCGATACGTGGAGTAAACAGGAAGGGGCGAATAAAGAAGCTTCGCGAGCACGAAGCACAGACGGAAAAAGACGCGCGGATGACTCGGCGTCGATGGGAGCGCACGCGCTCGGAAACCTGGCATGAAAATAGACGACCTAGGCACGGTTGGCGTACCGCCTGTCGTCGGCTCTTCTTGGGCCGCCTCGCATTCCCCTCGTCGCTTGCCTCGTCATTTCCATCCAATGGGGTGGTGGTGGCGGTGGCGGCGGCGACGGCGGCGACGGCGGCTATGAGGCGCGCAAATGATATCGGACAGCGAGTGCCAACGGCCGGCCAAAATTAGGCGCTCATTGCACAAGAACCGCGCAGAAATAGACTCGATGGGCGTCTTTTGACGTCTTGTCGCGATTTCACGCCGGGCAATGAAAGCGGAAAGAGTCGCGAGGCTGCGGTTTTCACCAAAATCCACCCATTTACGCCCGTCCATCTCCGCAAACACGTACATCGTAACCTCGAGCCCCGCGCTGCTCCAAGCACATCGACCTGAATCTCGTCGGACTACCCTACCGACACAAGCTCATTGTCTTTCATTGAGGTTTGTCTAATTCATAATTCAACTCCCGACTTTCTTTACTGACCTTATTATTATTGGCCTACCCGCGCTTATCCAACCTCCCTCTCATTATTTTCAAACTCTTGGCGAGGGGAAATTATTTTTTGCATATGGGAGAATGGATATTCTTTTCGATATTTTAATGTGGACGAGTGGCTTTATCATTGATCATTCGACGCAGTAGTAATATGTCTCTAGCAAAACGATAAAATCACCCCATCAATTTATCAAATCATTATATTTATTTGCGAAACAAAGTATATCATTAATCAAATGATTTTGAAAATAATTTCACATTATAAAAACGGGTTTTGGTCAATTTACAACATTGTGCGTGCGTGCGAGCGTGCGAGCGTGCGCGTATATATATATATATATATATATATATATATATATATATATATGTGCACATCAAAATAATATACTTGTGTTCAATAAAATCATAAATTTTCAAATTAAAAACATCGTATTTTTTCATTCATTATTACTTTTAAACCTCTAGCCCATTAAAGTACATTCGTTAAGAAAGTGTGTAATTTTCATCTGCAAAACATTTATTGCATTGAAATTACGAATATTATTGTTTTTCAACATTTTTCTTATATCATTAAGGATGTTAAATTGTTACGATAATCCGAGTTCTGTTTGGATAAAATCTAGTTATAAAGTTTCGATTTGTTGATTGAATTTTGAGCAATGAGCTTTTAACTCCTTAATTTTAAATAACAATTTTACTAATTATAAAGAACAATTTATATTTCGATAAACTAGATAGAGGGATACGCATTTAAACAATTTTTATCTCATACTGTTGATTTTTTAAACAAATAATAATTTACATATAGATTTGCCACATTGTTGTATGCATTTATTATTTTTAAACAATTGTATTTCAGTTTTGCAAGCAACATGTCAAATAATCGACATAAATACGATAAACATTATGCGCGAAAGCTGCCGTTTATTATAAATAATATGTTCGAATGAACTTTTATTTTAACTTGCACAATTTGACATTTATGTCAAAGTATCGACACTTCATAGAATACAAACGCTGGAATTTTTATAAGTAAACATTTTATTTTCTGTTCGTGACATCGAGCAAAATATATACACACTCGACCATCATATATTGAATTATCATTAAATAAGCCAAATGTTAAAACAAACATTTCTAACTACAAAAATGTCATTCTCCGTACTTGAGTAGACCGACAAAAGTTTTTTCTTTATTCCTTTTTTTTTTTTTTTTTTTTTGAACGAATATATTATATAAACACGTAGTCGTTCACTTTAATGTCGTTCTTATTTATCAAAGAAATATGAAAGAGTCACCGTTGACGTACAAACGAGAAAAATGAATTTCACATTACAAAGTATACAAAGTATTTGCTATCTTAACAAATTACAGCATTCATTCTTATAATGCCCCGTTAAAAGTAAATCTAAAATGTTTACGCGAACAAAGTATCACGGCTTACGACAGAATGTAAAGTCATCGATCCGAAATAATGTACGTGCACTTTATATGTAAGGAAAATTGCTCGTCCATATCGCAACGTAATTTCGTACTTTATAAAGAAATTTCGGCGTTTAAATAACGAATATAGTCACAGCAAGAGGCTAACAATTAGAACTTATTCACATTATCGCTAAGTATGCCAGTTAAGGGTGATAAAATTGTCTTCCTCGTTCGCTAGTAATTTTGTCGTTAATAAAAGATAAAAGGGCCGAGGGTTCGAGCGATAAAAGTACGCGACCCTTCGTAGCGCGCGAGCTCCTTTATCGCCTTGGCTTCTAATTTCGTATAACGTTGCAAAGTACTGGAACTTGAGGGCAAAACGATCGAAGAAAGACCTTGGAGATGACGAAATCAAGTTGAAGTTTGAGAAACGAGGCCTGGCGCTAATTTGCGCGTGCGTCGCTCGAGGCGGCAAGCGGTTACGGCCGAGGTTGAGCCGCGAACGGAGAAACCAAACGGCTATTTGAACTTTGGCCCAGTAGCCGGATAAACTCTTAAGCGTCTAGGTCGTATTAAGAGTCCGTTGATCGCGGTCCCACTACGTCCGAGAGATCACCGCCAAGATTCCCTTCCTACAAGTGCAGCTCCCTCGTACGGAATATGCTGCCTGCGCTCGGTTAGACAGAGGATGCCAGCGCAGCGGCTGCCGCCACCACCGTCGGCGTCGCTACTGTTACAACTGCTGCTGCTGCTGCTGCTGCTGCTGCTGCTGCTGCTGCTGCTGCTATTGTTACCCTCTTCGTCGTCGTCGGACGAGACGGCGAGTACTTGGGCTGTTGCGAAGTCGGGTCTCGGCACCGCTATCGGTGCAATAACTCGGCAGTCCGAGCAATTTGGCAAGTGGCCCGGCCCACCGATTGTCGCTCGACGACCCTGACCGAGAGACAGACTCGCGCCACTTTGACTCGACTCCGACCGAAGCTTACTCTCAAACTTCTCATTGATTTTGCGTTCTCGTAACGCATTCCGCAAGCGAAGCTCCCCGCGAGTCGACCGGATTACTTACACTTATCGCTTTAATATCGTCCTTCTGTCCTTCCTTTATTATTTTCAGCTTGTTAACGGCACGACGATGGTGCTGGCAGGCTCCGGCGCTAAAGCCGACTATCCAACATCGTCGGCCCGGAAGGTCAAGATAAAGCAGGTTGGTCTCGCACGCTTACTCAAACACGTATGCTTATCCGCCTTAAATATCTCATTGTATTTGTTAATTAATCCTGTGCAATGTCCGTGGCTTTTAATTGATTCGATGACGTTGAGATCGCGAGGCTCCGACGAAGCAAAAGATTTGGCTACAAGGTAATGTAACACGGGCACCCGGGCATTTTGTCAATTAATTGGAATTAATAGGTGGATGGATTCGAGGTGGACACGGGGCCGGAAAAGCGTTGGCGTGGCAAGGAGGGATCGAAGGTAGGCATCGGCCAGTTCGCCAACGAGGAGTAACGTACCCGGGCACGGCGTACCTATTGCTTTCGCGGCTGTGCTCGAGCCAACCGAAAATAGAGAGGACTCTTCTCTATTGTTAAAGTGCTTAAGCCGCAATTGGACGGGGGTGGGGTGAGGTGGGGTGAGGTGGGGTGAGGTGGGGTGGGGGTAAAGTGGTTCACCCGTTCGTATTAGCCGGAAAGCTTAAGGACTCGGTCGGGGAAAGTTATCGCGTGTCCCTGGCTATGCATCTCTCGTTTGTCCAGATGGTAAATGGCGAGGCCTCACCGAGGCCGTAAAGCGGCTACGTTTCAGCGGGGATTCGTTATCGTCTCGAGCCCGACTGACTCGCTGCTCTCACCCTCGGAGGCTCTTGCCCCAGGGCCCTTACAGCGGGAGTAAAAGCCAAAGAATACGTGTGCTCCGTCTATCTTTGATGAAGGAGATTCGGCGGCTTTATGGCTCTGATTGGCTGCCGTAGCTGATGTCGAACGAAGCCATTTGCCAGATCGTAATCGACTGGGGATAAGTTTTGCGCTCGCCCGCACTTTCACGCAACTTTTTTAGATCTCCAAGGGGGCGGCTTCCCTTTATTGGCTTACAACACCAGCCCCAAGTTTTATCTCTATCTTAGCAATTTGCTTTTATAGAAAACTTCTAAAAGGCCACAAGCTTATTCGCATGGTACACGCATTATCTTACCTTCATCATTCGTAAATGTGTTTTGTCGTAAACTTTGATAATTTTGTATTCGATAATAAATTGTTGTGGAAGAATAATACATTCTCGGATGTAAAGTAGTGTAACATTGTGAGGGCGTGATTACGAGAATGTTTTATTTGTTTTGTTTAGTACTTCGAGGTGCCAATCTTAAAGGAAAATCAATTGTCATTAGAGTCCTAAATTGAAAACGTACATAATGTTAGTTAAATAACGTTTCATAGGATTTATTTTTTCTTTTATTTTTTTTTTTTTTTTTTTTTTTTTTTCATAATTTTTCTGCGCACCACGTCCCCCTCCCTCCCACTCCGCCATTATGTGTATACTCAAGGATTTGAAACTTTCACGCTGACGTTATTGCAATTTTGTAGTACCAAGAACAGCCATTGTTTGCAATGAGACATCGCCACGACAAGACTTTTCAAAAACATTTCGCATTAATCAATTGTAACAAACGAGTATTGGATAATTTAGATGGTATGAAAATTATTATTCTAACAAGCTCTCTAAACAGGCCAAGTAATAATACCCCATAGAACATGCATTTTGTATTTAAGTGACAAGTGTAGTGCTAACGTAAAGTCATATAGCATAAATAAATTTTTTCCTATCGGAGTAATAAATGAAATTGCATCGATGTTTCACTTTAACGATAAATATGTCACTGACGGGAGCGATGTTAAATTTACTTATATGTATTTTTAATATAATTAACGAATTTCTCACTACACTCGACGAAAATGGAATAAAAAGTTTTGTAACCTAATTAAATAATAGTTGAATGTATATAGATCATGCGAAAAATATTATTGACATATTATAAAAAAAATTATACACTTGTCTCATTCATTAGGGGACAATTTTTTTTCTAACAGTTTTTCATGAAACAAAAATTTAACCTTTTGTTTTTATCATACCCAATGTTTTAATGTATTACAGCATTTCGGATAGATATAATTGAAATTAAATTACGATTGAGCAACTCAATAATTAGGAGCTAGTTAGTTGGAAGTTAATGTACGTTGAAGAGCAATCGGAATGATTTTCTGAAAACTTGTAATATAGTTGGAACAAATTATTATTAGATAATTTTATTGGGGCGGGACACACACACACACACACACACACACACACACACAAAAGTAATCATTTTCTCATAAGTACAAGAAAATTAGTTTTTGCTATTTTATAAAATACCAAGTAACGTTTATATCGAGTGGGAGGGCATATTGTCAGAATTCCAAATCCTGTACAGTCGAGAATTTAGAGAGAAAAATCAATGAACGTTGATGGATAAAGTAATTGAACATATCTTTCAAAATTATAAACATTAGGATAAAATATAAATAATATTACATAATTGATTGATCCAATAGAAACATGTTCCATCCCATCCTTCGTAAAAATAAAATTAGATATGTAATAACGCTAATCTCAAAAAACTATTTGCTTCTTACGTAAAGCTACTTTAGAAACACGCAAGTGAATCGATTTATAGATACTTAAAAAGTATGGATACACCTGTTTATGTGCTTCAAATTAACTTACTAATGAACTTTAAATGCCTATTATTGTAGCCGTCATTTGCCAATGTGCCAGAAAGTAAACAAGTATAATTATTTTCAATTAAAAACGAAGGGGCAAAGTTCTTTTCAATAATTTAAGATACAATAGCGTTCTATACGTGCAATCAACATTATTAATAATAAAATTAATTAGATGCAATAAATTTATATACAGTTTATAATATTATTTATCATTTAATTAATAGATCGTATTTATCATTTAATGCTAAATACGCTTAAAAATATTTGCTTAAATTATTAATAGATTATTTTTACTTTAAATTTATCAGCATTTAAAGAGCATTTAAATAAGGATAAATGTCAAAATTTACCTTACACTAATAACAAAATTAATTCAACCGACCATTTAAGCAACATAATATCTCTTTATAAAAAGTATGTTTGCGATTGTTGATAGACGTGAGATTCGACAAAATACTATATTGACATGTACAATGTGAAATGATGGAAATTTTACACACGCTAATTTTTATTATGAAATTTAATTACATAAATAAATTAACAAAGATTTCGGTTAAATATTTTAATCCATAAATATTTCACGACGGACAGGAATAATTTCATTGATCACAAAGTCCGTGCTATTTTAAATTATATTTTAAACGAACACAAATGTATTCCATTAAATTGAAGAGCATGATGCACTCATCATAATAATATGCATTACTTTTGTGTGCCAGTTGTAATTAATTTTAATCCTATACGTTATATATATATATACATATATATATTAATAAATAGAGACAATTACAATAGCGATTAAATGAATTAATTTTAAAATAAATTCTCGACGCAGTAAGTAATAACGACTATGGGTGTATCTTCGATTATTTTATATTATTATTTTTTTTATTTTTAATAATTTCGATTATTTTACACATAAATAAATGTTAGTCCAATAAAATGCTCGGGATATTTGCAATTTTTCATTGATTATTTTATACTAATAAGAAACAGTAGCTCTAAAAATAATGAAATTATTGCACAATGCAGATTCGGACTAAAATGGGCAAGCATTATATTACGTTATTCAAAATAAATATTAAACTAGCCTACATTAATCAATGTTAATTGTGAAATTAATATAGCCGCTATATACGTTCGATAATTTTTTTCTAATTATAAGATTGAGCAATGAGTTGCACGCGCGCGCAAAACTCTCTACTTTGCATAAGTCAACTGAGTAAGAAAATTATTTTAAAGAGAGTGAAAGGGAGGAAAATTAAAAAAAAAAAAAAAAAAAAAAAAAATAGGAAAATCGGATTGAGATGTCGCTATGACGGAATCTAATATATCTATTAAGTAGATAGTTTTCGACATTGACAAAATCGCCAAGCTCGTTATTTGCTCTCATCAGCGTCCTATTGGCGAATCGGCGACGCGAGCTAAGAAAGAAATTCACGCGAACGTAGCTAAATGTAGAAAGCCAATCGTTGGTAGATAAGGCGAGGGACGCGCAGACGAGGTGGTGCACTTTAGCGAGTGAGAACGAGCAATTTGCGAGTTGAATCAACACGAGGGCACGAGAAAAGCGTCCGTTGACCGCCAGCGCGTACCCAAGCTCAACGGGAGGCTTATAAATATATCCCTATTGGAAGCTATCGGGTATTCAAGCTCCTGCCAAGTCGAAATCCTTACCCCCCGGGGCAGGCAATCTCGCTATAAAGGAGCGATCGACTCCTCGCGCAAGTAAGAGGCGCCGGGCTTCGTGCACGAATGATGAATCGCAGTTGGAATTATGGATCGGCGCACTTCCCAGGCGGAAAGCGCTCGAACTCTCCACTACCAGCACCTCTCCTTCCCCCCCCCCATCCAATCCCAATCCGGCCACCGTTCCACGCCCGTCCCACGCCCGTTCCACGGCTTTCCCGAGATTTTTCGATTTCGGCGGCACGCGCAACCGCAAGCCAATCGAACGGCCGCGCGCGGGCGCTCACCTAATGACGACCTCATCGATTTCACAGCCGAGAAACTCGCGCTTCGCTCCCTTAATCTGCTCGGCACTCGATAATTACGCTCGCGCATGCACGTTTCGCGCACCCGACTCGGCCTTCACCGGGCCGGAGAAAAGAAAAAAGTTTAGCGCTACATTGCGCGCGCGAGCTCGCGGACTAACCGAGTATCTCGGTCAGGTCGTCCAGACTGTTCCAGGTCTGGCCGATAACGCCCTCGCCAGCACTACAACGCCCGGTATTGTGGATATTACTAAGAGCGCTCATCGCACGCGAGGCTTCCGCCACTTTTCACACCGTTCGTGCGCATTATGTTCTCTTGTAGCTTGTAGCTTTCGCAAGTCGTTGGACAAATGTTTGCGCGGCGGCCGACGGCTCGGCTCGAAAGCTCTACCGAGCTTCCATCTCGTTATAATAAACAATCGCGTAAGCTGCTTTGCGAACAACGAGCCTTGTTTTTGCTACAGCCGCCGATGCACACCGACCAACTTGGCCTTCTTATATCTTTCGCATTTGGCCTGAAAGTTGTGCTGCGTGCCGCGCTTGATTAATCAATGTGAGCCGTTACCGTCGCGAGCTGCCTATTCGGCATCAACTCGACACCTAATC